AGATAGTTCCATTAGAGTTGGCTAGACAGCCAATGTGCTTTGTTTTGGTGCAGATGCCCTTAAAAAGGTCAGCATTGAATGTCACATTTGCCAAACCCCCTCTGGGGTGGTTGGCCAGTAAGGGGGAAGGCAAAACCTCAAGCCCAATAGACCCCCCATAGTTTCCAAGTAATGCAGTAAACAAATCTATGATGCTTGTTGAATAATCTTCCAATAATTGCAGTCATTAAAATCATCACACAGTCTACAGTCACCTTCCTTCCTTTGACACACCAGAGTCTTTTCTTTAATTGTTAATGCATTTTTGGCTCAGATAAACATATCAATGCAGGCTTAGAATATATGGCCCAGATACCTCCAGCAGCAGAAAATTAGTTGTGTAGGCAAATGTTAGGAGTGTGTTTAATAGAAAAGAGGTTTTCAATTTCTCCAGAAGATATCACTGAGGAAATAAAAATTTGCATCTGCTGCTAAATACCAGCCATACCTCGGAGACAGAGAAAAGACCAGAGCCCTGTTGGCCTATTGATCCTTCTTGGCGCTCTTATTTGCCAGGGTAGGACTGCAGTAAGGACATTATAGGACAAATATTCAGTTAAAGCTCAATGAAAATACTGGGAGAATTCCTCAGTTCTCAATTAATTTCCTTGATCCATTTGATCTCAAAGCTAATGCTGTCTCAAACAGAAATGTATGTTAACTAGAAAAGATTTCCTTCTAATCAAAAGCTGCACTTCATCTTCATCTGTTCCTAAAACAACTTCACTGCAGAAAGCATTCCGGCTCAACAGGCGTTAAGGTCTGTACCGCCTCTCTTCACCCTTATTCCTGGGAGGCAACAACGGTACCCAGGGCAGGTTTTTATTGTTTTGCTTTATTTAAAAATAAAAAACACACAACTTATGTTATTCCTGTATCTACCCAACTCCCACACCACACTGACCTGGTGATCACTGTTCTAGTGTAGATCATGCAAATGAAAGGCATCATTAATTGCGCAAATGGTTTAAAAAGTTACATACATAGCAAATACATAAATAAATAAAGCCCGTTGGGAAGACAGGTCAGAAACGTGCTTTTTCAGAGACTCCCCCCCCCCCCCCCCCCCATGGATCCGAGTTCTACAGACATTGGGTGCCATTAGCTTAGCCAAAGCGAGAACCCTTCCCACTCCGCTGTCCAATACCCTCCTCATTCCTACCCTCTTCATCCCTAGTTCTGTGTATTTGTCACCAAACTCTGCACCTCACCCAGGCTCTGAAGAGACTGGACAGCTAGCTACCTAATAGTTAACAATAATCATGTCAAGTTATTCAGAAAATAACTGACCTTCCCTATCTGCATTTTGCTTCCTGTGCACCAGGGAAAAGAGTTTTATCAGTAGCACGGGGCCCCAGTCCTTCCCATCAGCTCTAATGACGGAATTGTTTCCCGGGCTTTGCCTCCTTAAACATAGCAACTTGAGCAGTTGTTGCTCAGATCAAAGCTCTTGGGAGAAGCAAAAGGGGGGAAACAATATTTGTTCAAAGGAAGTGAACTCTTCCTTTTAATTACTCTGTTCTTTTTTATCAGGATTTCGATTTCTTTTTCCTTTTTTTTCCGAAAAATTATGTTGACTTACCCAGGGTGTATTTAAAATGTAAATATATTCCAAGATGAAAACGTCACGGATCAATTGTAAAGGACCCGGATACATAATTTTAAAAAATCAGTTTCAGTGTATATGAGGTTCTCACCCCACTTTCGCTGCTCAGTCAGATTTGTTTATGCAGAATCGACATTTAATAGTGCTAATTGCACTCCAGTTAAATTGCCCTGATTGCAGAAAGGGAAGCAATTTTCGTGCTCTCTGTCTGGGTTTGGAAGAAATTGTTTTATATTCACCTCTTTATAAAGAAGTGGAGATAAGGCACCGGGGCCTTTGCACAAATTGCACTTAGGGGCTGACTGGCAGCATTCAGGCGCTATAATAGAGCATTATTTGGCCGTTTTGAATAATGTAAAGCGTTTGCTGAAAGCTATTCTCCTGAAAATTGCTTTAACTTTTAAAAGGGTGATGATTCACTCCAAACCAGGCCTTTGTTACATTGTCATTATTTCCCCAAATGTTTTAACAGTCAGCTCAACACTTTAGCATAACACATTGATCTTTGTTTAAAAACTAGATTTTTTAGAGGATGAAAAAAATCTGTCAGACAAGGAGGGGGTGGAAAAGCAACAAAAACTGGACTTCTTCCGAAAGATTCCCTTGGGACCCCACCTTAGAGTTGAAGTGGCCCGAGTGTTTGCACGCTTTCGTTTGGAAGATCTCCCTAACTTTGATTGTGATCGGGCGCGTGTATCTAAAGGAATATCTGAGTGCCGATATAGAGTGTGACAGCTGGAACTATGCTGAAAGGGGGGGAGGGGGAAGGGAGGCCAGGAGGAGGAGGAGAAGGCGACAGAGCTCCCAGAGCCCGAGGTGCCTGCGTGCACTGTTTTAAATGGTTGGCTTGAAAATGTCACCACTGCTAAGTGGCTTTCTGGATTGTCTTATTTATTACTTTGTCAGGTTTCCTTAAGGAGAGGGTGTGTTCGTGGGTGGTGGAAGGGGTGGATGGGGGAAACCTCTGCTCTTCTCCTCCCGGGGCTGCACAGGGTGAGTCGGAAACGCCTCGCTGCCACTTAACAATCTCCCTATTAGTAAATCGACGCGAAGACTCTACAGGAAGCCAAGCACCAGTCTCCCTTTCCAGGGCAGAAGTCACCTGTTGGGAATGGCTCCTGAGTCCCCCTGCAGGGCCCTCCAGCTCTTCCGGGCTGCCGGCAAGTCCCCTCCACCCTGTGCCTCCAGCGGGCTTTTCACAACCTCGCCCTGCTTTCCACGACAGTCTTCCAGGGCACTGCGTTTCATGAGAACTGCGCTAAGCTGCTTCCTCTCTCCTTTCTCTAATAGAATTTCCTTGGGGGTTTAACCACTTTTTTTTTGTTTTGCTTAAAAAAACTAGTATTCTGAGCAACAGTATTTTAAAGACAAGAAAATAACCTGTAGAACCCTCTCCACCCGCAGAATGCACCCAGGGTGCACACAGGCCATGTTTTAGGACTGGGAAGGGAGCCACAGTGGTCGCTCTGAATTGGTAGAGAGATCTGGCAGAAGCGGAGCGAAAGCACCACAGCTCCACATCTTCCTCATTTGATCTCTTTTCACAACTCGCGCTTTGCAACCGAGTGTTTGGGGGTTAGTGGTTTAAAAATTAAAGCGTACTTGGGCAGGATGGCGGGATGTGGGCTCGGTACATTCAAAGCCAGCAACCAAGTCTGCCCGAGGGTCTGGCATTTCTGGTTCAAAAGCAGCTCCTGACTGACCTGGAGAGGAAAGAGAAAGCGAGACCAAGAAAAGAATGAAAAGGCAAACAGCTCAGCGTTTATAGAGGGGCTCTAGGGCGCCCAGTTACTAGTCTTGAAGCCACCTCTTATCCCACCGATAATGTCCGAGGAGAACTGGGTAATCCTTTAGAATGTTTGCAGCCGGCAAAATGTGGAGACATCAACATGGGAGTCTCGTCTTCCAAACTCTAGGGTGGTGATCGTTGAAAGGCTCTCGGACACGTCCGCAAAAGTGGGGCGCTCGGGAAGAATCCACTTTTAGCAAGGCACCCTTGCCCTGCAGAAGACCTCCTAGGCCCTGGTGGTCTGGGGTGAGGATGAATTGGAGTTGGGACTAGAAAACTCGATTGCAGGCTGAAACGTGACATGCAAATCTTCACCGGGTTAAACAAACAGAGGTACAAGCTGCAGCTTCAGCGGGGGTGGCGGTGGGGGCGGACTCAGCTCGCGCCAGTCTCTGTTTCCAAAGTTGTTACAATGTGAAAATAAGCGGCTTCGTGCGGCGTGTTGTATGGGCTGATGCCTTCCACCCCCACACCAGCCCCCAGCGAAACCCGGCAGATAATCAGCACATCCCACTGTTTAGTCATATTTGACAACTGGGTTAACCTGGTATCTAGGCTCTGGCGAATTGGTACAAAGGGTGCCCTCAATTACCACCAGAAGCTTCTGGCGTGAGTGGCACTTCTATTACACCCCGGGTCAAAGGCCAGAGCGACAATTAGGAAGTCACTTAGACCATTGGGGGAAATGGTAGCGTGTAGTAGACTCGACAACCTCCCAAGTCTGTGGGTGTCAACTTGTATACCTCAAGGCCTATTTTTCTCCCCACCGCCGAGCTGTCCCTTCGCGCCCCCTCCTCAATGTAACTCTTAAGTTACATTAACTATTTCATTATTACATTAATTATTTCCAGTGGGGAGGAAAGGAAATGGATAGAAGACAACGAGAATTCTCGATCCAGAAAGATGAGAAACAGCTAGAGTTGTACTCGCAGGCTAGAGCCTGGACACACAAAGTATGCTTTGACATTTCTGTCTCCACTTGGGCCTCCGCCTCAGCGCCCCCTCCTCTTCTTGCATCCTTTCCCACAAGTGGGGAGTGGAGTAAAACTGTCAGCCCTTACTGGCATCATTCTCGGGGTGCTTCGGGGGCTTGTGGCTCTGTCTCAACACTCCTTAGACGTGTGTGTGTGTGTGTGTGTGTGTGTGTGTGTGTGT